CGGCTTTCAAGGCCCAAATCCCAAGGGGCCCCTGCAAAAACGGCGTGTCCTTTCCTAGGGCACAAAACCCTAGAAACGGCACACATTCCTAGAGCTCTATAAATAGGGAACATTCCCCCTATTTATGAGGGCAGATTTTTGGGACAACCTTTATAAAATAACCTTGATTGAATACCAAGCATTGTCTAAACTGTCACCCTCAAGAAACAGTATGCCTGAGCTTGGAACCCAAGCAGATAACCTTATTTCCGTACATTTTCCTCCGAACGCTTTGCTAACTTAATCTTCGGAGGCGGACTACCGACCAACCGGCAGTCCGTTTGTTTTGCAGGTAGAGGCGCCCCTTGCTAGATCCAGTTTTAGTGTCGTAACTATCCCGAGGGACAAAAAACCCCAAAACAGGGTCCATGCCGCTTATACAAATATATGTTGAAGGCTTGAAAAATAATGAACCTCACATGGACGTGGCAAAAACTCACTAAAGGCGTCGAATCAACCAAAGGAAGCAACTCCGTCTTACCACAAACCCAACGGAATCCGGCTTTAAAGTCCCAAAAGGTCTAAACAACTACCTTAGCATACCCTATGCTAGAGTGAACCGCAAATATTCTCAAAACATGCACACCAATTAAACATAGGAAAGAATACATGCAAAGGAAAAATTCCGAGCTATAGAATGTCCAAAGAAAAGAGCTAAACAAGCAAAAAGAAAAAGAATAGCCTAAAAAAATTTTTGTTTGTAATTGAAAGAAGAAAAAGAGCTAAAAATAAAAAAAAAAGAGTGAAAAGCACAAGAATGCAAGTAAAGATAAGTAATACCCAATCGTCAAAGAAGTGGTCATTCATCAACAACGCCAATGACCCCAAACACGCTAGGTGTTACAAAGCAAATATCCTCAAACCATTCAACTCATCCTAAAGCTAATCTTAAACTAAGAAACCAAGAAAGAAAAAGAAGAGATATAGAAAGATCTCACCGAGCGCCAAAGCTATTCTACATAATCAAGGTGTAAGAACACCTTGCGAATCGTTGAAATCCAAAGCTTAAGCAATAGAGCATGGTGAGAAATAAAGAACTATATACAATGAAAATTATTAGTAATTTCAAAACAAAATCAAACAAAAGAAAAGGAAGAAAATAAAATAAAGAAAAAGCAAATAGCAACAAAAGTAATATCCAATGAGACATAAGACCGAAACAGTAACAAAAAGCAAGATATTAAATAATCATCATCAGGAATCATCATAACTAAGATACAGAGAAATGCATCAGACAGCGATCAGCAAATCAAACAACAAATCCAAAAAGCCAGGCAGAGAAATCAATAAAAGCACAACATCATCATAAAATTAAAGGACTCAGATATCGACACCAGCAGCAAATGAGACCAGGAATGAACTAGATAAGCAAGGGGGAAAATCAACGAAGCAAAACAACAAACGACATATAATACCCCCAAGCTTAAAATGGGCCACCCCTTAACTCTAAACCTAAAGACATATAGGCAAAAGAGAAACATCATATATAAAGCACAAAAGAAGTGGGGAGCATTGTAGTATCATTCTGCACTATGTTAAGGGGTAGAATGAGAACTCCCCTAACCGGTCTCCATCAAATGACTAGAGCTTGCCATCTGGCTCACTTCCATGGGAGCCTTACCCCTTAACCGACTTTCCCACCTAATTCTATCAAGCTCAAAATAATGAGACCAATCATCTAAGATCGTCTCACCCGACCTACCTTACCTACCAAAAGTCTCGGGGTTTGGAAAATGCGAAGGATTAGCCGGATCATACGCATAATCACAACCTCTAGGTCGCCATTTGTCGTAAGTGCTCGGGGTAGTGCCTATGATAGAACTAGGGTGAATATAGGGACCCTCCCAATAATGATAACAAAGTCTAGGACACACAATAGGATCAAAAAAGATCCCATTGAGGGACAGGTCCATGTTGGACAGGGAGGTACGGATAGTTGACGTAAGGTTCTATATCCCCCCTACAAACATGTAAATCATATAATCGATACGGATGGTAATCATAACCAAAGGAAGGGGGTTGCACAGAAGGCATGGAGTACAACATGTTAGCAATAGACTCAAGCTTGGCATGAATTGTTGACATATTGAAAGTAAAAGGAGTGGGAGAGGGGGAAAGAGTAGGTGTACCTCCCGGTGCAACCGGGGGAAGAGAATGAGCAATCGATGAGCACGCATTGGTTGAATGACCTCTTGTACAATTTGTCCTTCGTCGAATAGAGGGATGAACATCTTGCACCGGGGGCCTCCAGGACAAAGAATCTCTCTCCTCGGGTCGAGTAGTAGCTTTCTTGTAAGGAATGAGGAACCATTCCTTATACCGAGAAACCTTCCAAATGAAGACATCGTCCTTCCATGTTCGGTCAAGAAATTTTTGATTCACTAGGGCGGAGACGTTTCAGAAATGAGGGGGAGACTTTTCCTCTAAGATCAATAATTGGAGGAAGCTCATCTAGCATGGTCTTGTAATCATCATTAATTCAAAGAGCTAGGATAGAAATCATCCCACCCAATTGGATGCACCCCGATAGGCAAACTCCATCACGAATATCCAAGAATCGAGAGTTCAAATGCTCCGTGAAATCCACCGACTCAATATCAAAGTCGTTTTTGTCTGCTATCCACAACCAACAAAGCTCCTCACGGGAGATAGCTTCCAAAGAGTCCTTGGAGCAAAGAGCGTATGTGAGGATTCGGTTGAAATACCGCATAGCCAGATGAATCATGGAAGCAGACATTGAAGTTTGAGGGTCATACATTCCTTCCTCCGAGATATTCCTCCACCAACGGTGCTCATAATATCCATGCTCACTTGCCATTCTACTATGAGTCGGATAGATACAATGATCCGGATCCTCGGCCCAAGGAAGCATGAAATGTGAATATAGTTGAGCATCCGTTAATGAGTGATCATTGTTGAAGAGTTGGAAAGTCAAAATCTTTGAGTAATTTGCACCCGGTTCATGGACAACTTTGAGAGAAGAAAGGAATTCATAAGTCACCCAAGCATAAGTAGGGGCACCCAAATCCAAGAACTCTAAAAGATCAAGGCCCTCCGCAAGAAGGCGAACATCCTCATCAATCCCTAAAAACTTTGTTGTTGTTTGATAGTAGAATCTCGTTGGTCTAAGCTTTCTCTTGGATAGACGCTTGAAGCAATCCCAATGTGATTATTTTAAAAATTCAATGCCATAAGTTTCTTGAACCTCGGGTGGAGGTGGAACAACATACCTAGGCTTGCTTGAACTTGTTGTAGCTCGCTTCTTATGTCGAAGTGTGGCCATCTACAAAGTATCAAGACTTAGCATAAGTAATTTTTCAAGAACAAGCACAAAATGGAAATACTCTACAGTAGAAGCAAGACATGGTAACAAATGAACAAAGCAATTGATAGCATCATGAATATTAAGCAAACAAACATGGATTGAAGGAAAATATGAACATAAGAAACCAAATCATGAGTCAAATTGAGCAAAATAAATCCCAAACATTGAATTATCAAATATATGAAACTATTATAAAGAAAACCCATGAGAGAGAAAATAGACAACAATTGTTATTTAAGAATTCAAACAAAGTTCACACATTTATCATGAGGATACTTCAATTCAACACCCAATGATATCATTCAACATACATTCCAAGTGAAAAGAACTAACCATAGAGTGTCACCATGAAAGCATAAAGGTTTAAGATTAAATCAAAGAGGAAGATGATGAATAGATAATAAGAAACCTTACCTCAATGAAGCCTTGAAATACTTGTAAAATTCTCAAAAATAAAGATGTAAGCACAAATAAAACTCCCAAAAACAAGCTTTATACCTCAAGATAAAACTTCATAATTTTGAAAAAGTCCCAATTTTTTTTATTGAATTGGGGAAGAAAATCTTAAATTTTTGGGTTTTATATTTGAAAACTTGATGTTGGCAATTGAAATTGATGTTTAAATGATAGCAAAAGAGGTGAAGTGGGTTTGATATTGCAAGAGAGGGTATAAGGTTTTAGGAGGGAAAAATGAGAGAATTGAAAGAGTAGGGTGCGTTTTGGGGTTATAGGGGCTGCCAGCATGTGCGTGCGCGTAACAAAAGGCCACGCCCGCTCCTGATAAAGCTGCGCTCGCGGGAAAATATTTGCGCCCGCGGGTAGCCCGCGGCTAGTTCGCGGGAAGTTCCTGATCGGATTTGTCATTTTCGGTGCATAGGCATTCGCGCCCGCGGGTGATCTTTGTGGTGCGTGCGCGGAGCTTGGTGCTTGCGCACCACATGCATCTCGAAGGCTCTAAAAAGAGAAACACCCCTTAATAATGCTTAGGTGTTTGCATTCTCACTGTCCCTACCAAATGTCAAGATTAGAGACTCAAAAATTTCATAAGAAACAATACCAAATATGTTTGAACATATATAAAAATCGATGGGAATGCAAACACGAGAACATATAACTTCAACAAACCCTTTCCTCTAAGCATAACCAGACCTCACGAAGTCTTAAAGTAGCACCAAAATTGTTGGAAATTTTCTCCAATCCAATCCCATGTTACCTAGGATAAAAAAACAAACCAAAATAAAAAGAAATATGATAAGTTCTTAAAGGAGGAAATAAAGAGAAATGTAAGATCAAAGAAAAAGGTGAGAAACCCGATTAACTCCCGAGTAGCGCTTTTGGTTAACGTCGTTAGCTCGACGTCCTCCACCAATTAAGGTAGTTGGCAGAAACAATGAGTCCCTAAACCAACAAAAGCATTGTCAAAATACTTCATTAGACGATTGCCATTAGCCATGAATGGAGAAAGAAAATCCTTCATTGAGACTTCTACAAAACCATTTGGAAAACCACTCTTGGCCGAATTGGGACTGCTCCATCCTGATCCCTTGATGGTATGGTGTGATGGAAAAGGGTTGACCTCAACCATTGGTGCACCTTTACCTTCCTTTGAAATGGCGGCTTGCAAAGCTTCTTGGCTTCAGATATTCATGCACATATACTCATCCACTTCCTCAATGCTTCCCTTTAGCAAATCCTCATACATTGCCACTTCCTTGATAGGAGCACCTATCTTATCCTTGTTCAACAAGATATTCTCAAGAGGATCATTAGAAGGGAGCAAGTTCTCATGCATGGAAGCTACAACATGATCAAGAGAATCAATCAACATGCAATTTTCTAGAGAAGAACATGGATATTTTATGCTTTCATTCAAGTCAAATTCAATAACCTCTTCTCCTACCTTGAATGAAATTTTTTAACTCTTAACATCAATCATAGAACCTGAGGTAGCAAGAAATGGTCTACCAAGAATAATGAGAATGGTAGCATCTTCATCCATTTCAAGAACCACAAAATCTACCGGAATTACAAACTTCCCTACTCTCAAATGAACATCCTTAACTTTCCCCTTAGGAATCTTAATTGACCTATCGACCAATTGCAAGGTAATTTTAGAAGGCATGAATTCCCCTAACTCAAGTCTTTGATAAACTGAATATGGCATTAAGCTAACACTAGCTCCTAAGTCACATAAGGCATTATCAATTTGCATCTTGTTAATGGCACAAGGGATAGAGAAGTTTCCGGGATCTTTCAACTTGGGTGACAACTTGTTCATTATGATTGCACTACGATTCTCGGTCAAGTTGACCGTCTCCACCGCATCACAAGACCTCCTACCACTCAAAATGTCTTTGAGGAATTTTGCATAGTTGGGCATTTAGGTAACAACTTCGGTAAAAGGTAGAGAAAGATGAAGTTGCTTAAGCATGTCAATAAATCTTCGAAATGGTTCATCCAACTTATGCCTCACGAATTTTTGTGGATATGGAAGCTTGGGTTTCACAATCTCTTTCTCCACTGTCACCTCTCTAGGCGTCTCAATAACAACCTCATTCAAAGATGCACAATTTCTCTCATCCTCTACCAAGACCTCCTTAGGACCCTCCTTAGTTCCACTCTTCCTAGGCAAATTCTCCTCAAGAACCTTACCACTTCTTGAACAATAGCATTCACGGGTCTCTGGGATCTAATCCTCGGGAAGGTAAAGAAGAAGGACTAGCATGGTCTTTCAAAGAATTAGCAAGTTGAGAAATTTGGTTTTCAAGCATCTTATTATGAGTCATCACTTCATTGAATTTCTTGTCACTTACGGCCATGTAAGTGCTCAACAACTTTGTTTGATTTTTAGTGATTTCCTCCAAATAAGTCCTAGAAGAAAATGATTGTGAATAGGAATTATCAACTTGAGTCTTTGCAAATCCGGGTGGAGGGCCTCTTTGAGCATTATTTTGAAAATTGCCTCTTCCTTGATTGTTCCAATTACCCCTATTTTCTTTTTGACAATAACCTTGATTTTGGTTACCACCACCTTGATTATGATTTACATAACTTTGGTTTTGATTACCATAATTTTGGTTTTATTTTTGGCAACTATAACCTTGATTGTTATAGTTACCTCAAGAACCTTGGTTCCCTTGATTCCTATAACCACCACCTTGGTTATAAATTGTCAAAATTACCATGCTTTTCGTAATTCCTATTTCATTGACCCCTTTGGTTATCAAACCTTTGCACATTATTATTTTTTGACACAAATTTCACATGTTCACTCTCATTATTGTCAAAATCATCATTACTCTCCGGAAAAGCATGAGGGCAATTACTAGAATCATGATCATATGAACCACACACATCAAAAAACAAACAACCACTAGGCATGTTACTAGAATAAGGAGGGGGAATAGAGTTAGAAGGAGTACCTCTCCCTTTAAATTGGGAGGGAAGACTTTGAGATTGGGAAGAAAAACTCTCCAATTTTTCCTTAATTGCACTCACTTCCTTCCCCAAGTTTGCCATTTGTGAGGAGAGATTGTTGATTACATTCAAATGATCAACCGAGTACACCGAAGAGCTACTCTTGCTTGTTGATTCTCTCTCACTATCTTGCCAATCTCTATAATACTTCACAACATCCTACTTGATATATCTTTGTACTTCTACTTTTGTGTGAATGTGACAATATTTTTCGAACTAAAATCAGCTAAAAAGAACTAAGAAAAAATATAACTAATTTGCAAACTTAAAATGACTAAAGTTTACAATTTATTCAAAGCATAAAAAGAACTAGAATAAACTAGTTAATAAGAACAACAAGAAATTCAAGGGATTGAATATCTTGCTGCCCATGGATAGAATGCATAGCACCAATACATGATGCTACGTCTTGAACCAAAGAAATGTCCATAACCAAGTTGTTAGGCTTGGCTACAACAGATGGCCATGGCACAATTGGGTCGAAACGAATGTCACCAGACCGAGATCAGTTCTTACAAGCACACCTTTATGTGTTGCACCATGTTTCAGATGTGCACCCATATTTAGACGAGCACATGGCTAGTTTGCGTACCGAATTTCCATCCAAAGGTGAAAGGGCACTTATGCAGTTCCATAATAAGATATTTGTTTATTGGTTTCGTGATCAAGTAATGAGTGGATTGAATGATACTAATGTGACCGATACAGTACGGTGGCTTGCGTACGGTCCTAGGGATGATGTCCGTTCATTTGAGGGATATGACATCAATGGGTACACTTTTTGGGCCGAGGATCGTGATTTGAAATCTTCCTCCACCCAAAACAGTGGTGTAACTCTTGTGGTATCGTCAAGGGAGTTTGCAAGTTCTAAGGATAAATCACCTGTCGATGCAGAGTTGTCATACTATGGTCGAATATAAGAAATATGGGAGCTTGATTATTGTGACTTCACGGTTGCTCTTTTCAAGTGTAAGTGGGTTGATAATATCAGGCGTAACGTCAAACATGAGGACTTTACTCTTGTAGATCTTGGCCACTTGAATGATAGTGCGGAACCATTTATCCTTGCATCTCAAGCTAAGCAAGTGTTCTACGTAACTGACCTAATGGATTCAAAATGGTCTATAGTGCTAGCTGGAAAAAGAAGAATCCTAGGCATTAGAGATGTTGAGGATGAGGAAGAATATGATGCGTTTGATGATTCAGCACCTTTCACTGTTCCTAGACCTGTTGTACTAAATGACATAGACAACGAAGCAGGTTATATGCGATCAGACCACAACGAAGGAATTTCAGAATGAGGTAGTTTGATTAAAAGTTAGTAATGGTTTCATTGCAAATATAGTTTAGTTATCATGTATATAGGAGCATAAGTAGGCAAAAATGATATATTTGTAGTTTGAAATTGCCTAAGTGTACTCATTATCATGTATATACAAGGTTATAGGACCATAAGTAGGTGAAATTGGCTTAAATAGATTCTACTTAACCCAATTCTTTTGTTTTGTGTATGAACTAACATTTATTCATTCTAACAACCTATTTTCCATATGTAGATTGAAATTGGCATTTTGTACTCATTATCATGCATATACAAGGTTATAGGACCATAATAAGTAGGTGAAAATGGCTTAAATAGCTTTTACATAACCATAATAACTATCATGCATATACTTGACTATACACTAATATTGTTTCATGATTGCTTTGACATGTGCTTATATCTCATGGCGGACGATCATGATCCTCCTTTGGTAGAGGACATTGACGATGATGAGTATGAGGACGAGTACGAGGATGACGACTCCGATGATAGTGATGTTCCTTATGATGTGAATAAGAAGGATGACTTGGGTGAGCCAGAGGATCAGGCTCAAGATGAGTTCGAGCGTAGGCTTGACGATTTTGAAATTTCAGCTGATCGTGCACCGGCCGTTGTAAATACAACACGTGAGATTGTTGGTGAGAACCCGACTCCTGAAAGTCAAGGCTAAGGACAAGATGAAAACAACACAGGTGGTGGAGGGGGGGAAAAGGCACCGGCTGAAAGAAAAAGAAGGGGTCCGACGAGAAGCTTTAAGAAAACGGACGGTCCCATGGTCTTGGAGTATGACAACAAAGGCCAACCCGGGCCCAAATGGCGTCTACAATATTCTAATCAAGTTGGCATATGTTCGCGGAAAATTTCCATTACACTTGTAATGCGGCAAGTACCTCCGGGTTTGATTCAAGCATTTTGGGATGATACAAGGGTAAGTGTGTTTTTGGCACATTTAGACAATTTAAGATACCTTAACCTTATGGTTGTTACTAAATAGAAACTAATAATCGGTTTTAATTTGTGCTTGCAGAGGTTGTTTTCTATTCCTAATGATCCCGAGAAGAGAAGGGTGTTTGAATCTTTATTAGCGGAAAGATTCAGAGGCTTTAAGACCAAGTTGACTAATCGGTGGATCTACAATAAGAAGAAGGTGCAAACAAAGAAGAAGAATGCCAAAGAGGATGACTGTCTCCCGTGGCAAATATGGCCGACCGTGTCAAAAGATGATTGGGAAGAGTTCGTTAGAATGAAGAGTCAAAAGAAAGCCATTGTAAGTTTGTGTAAATCTTATCTCAATTGAATAATAGCTTGACACTTTTTGTAGTAATGAGACTAACATTTTATGTTTTGTAGGAACTTCGAGAGCAAAATCAAGCGAATGCAGAAAAGAAGGAATACGTCCATCGTATGGGTCCTAAGACTTTTGGTGAAAAGAGACCTGAGTGGGTCGGTTCGGGTTTATACCCTAAAGCGCTTCTAGTGGCATCGAAGGAACCCTCTAGTTCCACGATACTACATTGGTGAGTCGTGCCGGTGATTTCTTTTGTTCTCTCCATTCGTTTGATAAGAAAACCGGAAAATGGGTCATCAAGGGTCTGTAAGCCAAAAAACTGGCGGATAAGCTTGTAAGTTACCTATGAATTGTTGAAATTAAGTCACTTTTGCATCTAAATCATTGTACAAACAATTAACTGTTTTACTGACCTCATTTTTCCTTATGCTATAGCTTGAGCACACTCAAGAGATGGTGGAGGGCAAATTTGAACCAAGTGTGGAGAATGACCCTTTCACTATGGCTTTGGGAAGGCCATACCATCCAGGACGAGTAGTAGGTTCGGGAGGGTCATTTCTTGGATGGAATAAGGTGATGGGTCCCGAATACACAAAATTAGGTAGATCTCAAGCCAGTGTTAACTCACCGGGGGAGTTGGATGCCAAGGTGGCATCAATTAAGGAACAAGTACGCAACGAGTTAGTTGGTGAATTGAATGCTTGGGCGAAGCTGATGAACTTACCGATTTTGTCGTTCCTCACGAGTACCCCGGTCGACTCATGTTCTGAACCAAAAGGACAAGGAAAAGGTGATAGACATGGAGGAGATGAGATACGTGGTGAAGATGTGCCACCTGAGGTAAAATCAATTGGGTTATTAAAAGTTTTAAAATACTGAGTTAATTGAGATTTGAGGTGCAATGATTGATGTACTATTGCAGGTTCCTATTCCTACACATGCGGACTCGAGGGAGCTTGAAAATCCAACACCGCATGAATTTCCAGAGTTACAGGTGATTTGTAACCCTCTACCTTAATGAATTTTGTTATATTATCTATGCTGTTGTAAAATTCCTATTTAACTATCTTCTTTTTATATATATACTTGTGTAGGAAGACACCTGGTGTGCACTTCTAGCCCCGGGGCATGCAAATAGTACGACAATGAGTTTGGTGGCGTATGGTAGTTCCCAACCGACGACGGGTGCTACGGCGGGGTCACATCATTACTCGGTTGGGATCGATTCAGTGGTTGCGGGGTTCGAAGACATCCCACTACCCGTACCGATAGAAGAGGTTGAAACAACAAC